GGATGGCATCCACGGATAGCCGAGGGTTTTGGTCTTCAAACTGGTAAACACACAACTGGGGGGCGAAAAGTTCTAAGGGACAGGGATATTACTGTGTCTTGTTCCCCACAGCTGGTCAGGGGGGCATTCTCTGTCCCAGACCCAAGGTGCCAGGAGGGGAACTGAGCCAGTGAGAGAGGTGACTCAGACAAAGCAGGGCCACATCCTCTCTTAATTCTGAAAGTTCGTATATGACATTTATTTTGATTTTGAACAACATCTCACACAAAAAAACTGCTATCACTGGGATGATTGGTGACCCCTTAATCTGTGTGACTCTCCCTGCAAGTAGCAATTGGCCTGTTTTCTTGCTCCCACCATGACCTACAGGCAGTGAGGGCTGATGGACACAGGTGTGTTTCACAGGAAGAAAGCAAAGCAGCAGATGTTGAGATTGAACCTGAGCCCTCCTCCCTTCGTCAGTTTCCACAGTCCTATGAAAACAAATTCATGAACACCCTCCTGCTTACACCACTGTGGGTCCCTCTTTCTTCCCAGGTTATTTTCTCACCCAGAATAACCCCTGACCTTTCTCTGGACAATTCAGCTCCCTCCAGGGCTGACTCTTTCACCAGGCAAAACCCAAACAGGGCATTAGGCAATCAATTCTTTTAGGTTCCACAAGAAAAGTATAATTTCTTCAAAAATGACAACCCAAAGTGACTATAGTAATAATGAATGTATATCAATGAATCTTGTGGGGTCTATTGTTAAATTACATTTTATTGATTATGCTATCACAGTTGCCCCATTGTTCCTTTCTCCCCTTTATCCTCCTCTGCCTGGTACCCTATTTCCTCCAGCATTTCCCCCACTTTAGTTCAGGTCCATGAGCCATACATATAAGTTCTTTGGCTTCTCCATTTCCTATGCTAATCTTACTATCCCCCTGTCTATTTTGTACATACCATTTATGCTTCTTAATCCCTGTACCTTTTCCCATTCTCCCTCCTCTCCCCCCTGCTGATTACCCTCCAGGTGATCTTCATTTCTGTGATTTTGTTCCTGCTCTGGTTATTTGCTTAGTTTGTTCTGGGTTTTGGGTTGGTTTTTTTTTTAGGTTCAGTTGTTTACAGTTGTGAGTTTGTTGTCATTTTGCTGTCCATAGTTTTGATCTTCTTCTTTTTCTTATTAAGTCCCATTAACATTTTATATAATAAGAACTTGGTGATGATGAATCCTTTAATCTGACATTATCTGGGAAGCACTTTATCTGTCTGTTGTCAGTGAGAATTTTGCTGGATAGAGTAATCTATGTTGTAGGTCCTTACTTTTCATGACTTTGAATACTTCTTCCCAGTCTCTTTTTTCCTGCAAGATTTCTTTGAGAGATCAGTTGACAGTCTTATGGGAACTCTTTGTAGGTAACTCCCTTTTCTTCCCTTACTGCTTTTAAGGTTCTTTCCTTATCTTTAACCTTGGGCAATGTGTCTTGATGTGGTCCTCTTTGGATCCAAGTTGTTGGATCCAAAGCTTCCAGCACTCTCTGAGCTTCCTGGACTTGTATGTCTATTTCCTTCACTAGACTGAAAAAAAAATTTCTTTCTTTATTTTTTCAAATAAGTTTTAAATTTCTTGCTCCTTCCTCTTCTGGCATCTCTATGATTTGGATGTTGGCACATTTGGAGATGTCCCAGAGTTTTGTGTTCTTTCCTCATTTTTTTTTAATTCTTGTTTCTTCATTCTGCTCTGGTTGATGTTTCCTGCTTCCTTTTGTTCCAAATGATTAAATGAGTCCTGGTTTCTTTATTTCACTGTGGGTTTCCTGTATAGTTTTCTTTATTTCACTTTTGATAGCCTTCACTTCTTTCTTTATTTTGGAGCTGTACTCAATCCTTTCTGTGAACATCTTGATTACTAGTGTTTTGGACTCTGCATGTGATAGGCGCTATCCCCTAGTCATTTAGTTCTATTCCTAGAGTTCAGATGGGTTCTTTAACCTGGCCCATATTTCTTTTTTAAGTATATGTTACTGATTATGCTATTACAGTTTTCCCAATTTTCCTTCTTTATCTCTCCTCTGCCATGTACCCCACAACCCTCCAGCATTTCCCCCCTTAGTTCATGTCCATGAATTGTACACAATAGTTCTTTGCTTCTCTGTTTCCTGTAACATTCTTAGCCTCTTCTCCTCTATTTTATGCCTATCAATTATGCTTCTTATTCCTTATAACACCCCCATTATTCCCCTCCTCATCCCCGCTGAAAACCCTTCATGTCACATGCATTTCTCGAATTCTGTTCCTATTCTACTTGTCTGCTTAGTTCTTGTTCTTTCAGGTTCAGTTGTTAATAGCTGTGAGTTTGTTGTAATTTTAGTGTTCATGGTATTTTATCTTTTGGGGCCTATATGTCTTTCTCTAGGCACACCTGTTATGTTTTAATGGATAGAGCCCTAGGTATTCTCCATGGTGGGGCAACCCACATGGCTGCATTGTGGAGCTGTATGTGGAGGAGTGGACAGAGAGGAAACAATGCCATTTGCTAGTCTTTCACCACTCTGTCACAGGACTGGCAGTTTCTCCCAGTGCCACAGCCCCCACAGGTATTAACAGCCAGAGGCTCTGAGGGTTTATTTTGCCCACTCTGGAACCCAGGGTTGTGCCGTCTGTCTCACTCCTCAATTGTTTCCCCAGTTTATCCACATGCCAGTGTGGCACTGCCTGGTCCACCAGTGGCCACCATGCCATGGGTCCTCAGTGCCCCATATGCTCCTCTCTGTTGCTCCCACCAGTCTAGTTGATTGTTGTTTCTTTGTATCCTTGGTTGTCGGACTTCCATTCAGTTCAATTTTCTGGTAGTTCTGCTTGATCTTTGTTTTTTAATTGGTTGTTTTTTTTTTCTGGTGTGTGAGGAGGTGAAGCATATCTACCTGTGACTCCATCTTGGCCAGAACTTCTATTTTTCTTTATATTGATGCATAAAGAAGAGGCCGAAAGTACGTAAGACTCATTAGGTCATAATAAGGAACGTCCTCCCACTTTTTTTTTCAAGATTTTATTTATTTATCTTTAGGGGAGGAGAGAGGGAGAGAAATACCATGTATGGTTTCTTCTCGTGTGTCCCCTGCTGGGAACTGGCCTGCAACCCAGGCATGTGCCCTGACTGGGAATTGAACCACGATCCTGGTTCACAGGCCTGCGCTCAATCCACTGAGCTATATCAGCCAGGGCCGTCCTCCTACTTCTTCACAGTACCTCTATGTTGGTGTCATTATTAGGCCCACACAAAAGGACCATGTCCCTGTACCCACACCTCACATTTTAATATTTTGCTTATCACACCCCCTACACACACGCTTGTTTGTTATGGACTCATGTTCTCTGCTGAGTCTTGGTGCTTTGAATACACATGCAGAAGTTGCCCTTTGCCCACTGGTTGATGCGGTCCACTTGGAGAGTAGTCCACATGTCTGCACTTGGAGTGGACATGTGGAGGGAGCAACAAAAGGTCTGTGATGGGGAATGAGAAGGAGAAAAATGACTGCAGTTGCTGAAATAGCCATGCTCTCATTGGAGTGGTCACTGGCTTGAAAAGGAGGAGAGGCCTCAGGACTCTGAGCAAAGCAGCTTCAAGGAGCCCCAGAGCAAGAGTACAGAACCAGAGGTGAGTCTCTGGATCAGGTGGCCAGAGAAAAAACCCAACTCCCCAGACTGGGCTCCTGGGCCACGTTGGCCCTACCTGTTTCAGGTCAAGCCTGAGCTGCCCCAGTGCAGTTAGGGGGGCAGTTGATGTGTTCACATGTTTCCCAGGTGCCCATCTTGTCTCTATAGCTGGGGAAGTCAGACAGAGGGCATTGCCTGCATTAATTACAAAAGTTTCTATGTACCATGTTCATTGTGACTACAGCGTCAGCAAATACCAGAGGATTATGTCACTCGAAGGATTGGAAGTAATGTTGGAGATGGGCTCAGGGAAGCACCAGTTCCAGTGCCTGTGCCAAGTGGCAAGCATGTAAGGAGCCAAGGAGGGTGGGGCAATAGGCTCACAAAAATTTGTCCATGGCCAAATATGTCCAATTCATGCCAGTGAAAATGCACCAGGCCAAAAGGAAGCAAAGCACCTAAAAGCTACTGAAATGAACCAGGGAATGAATGTTTTTGTGAAAGGGATCGAAGTAACATGGGGAGGATGGTAAGGTATGAAAGTATCTTTGAGGCACAAGCTGTCCAATGGCACCCTGCCTGATGTCCCCTGGGAAGCTCACCAGTAATTTGTGGAGGCAGGATGAGTGGGGGCACACGCTCCAGGGGGTAAATAAGAGGAAACACAGGAGCCACCACTTGGCTTAGGGTGGCCATCACAGATGCCTAACTGTCCCAGGGGAAAACCCAACATAGTCAGAACTCAAGTGTGAAAAGTGGACATTCAGGCAGGGTTCAGTACCTTGTCAGGGGGAGGCGATGACATTCATTTGCTGTTTGGGGAAAGTTTATCTCATAGGGTTCACTTGTGGGGTGAGAATTGATGGTGAGGATCTTCGTCAGCACTGGGTGGAGGTTTCATGCACGTAGATGATGAGGGTGTTTATTAGCACTGGGTGGAGACCTGGGGTCCAGGACAATGAATACCCAGAGTGGAGCCCAGCCATGATGAGAGGGCACAGCATCAAAGTGAGACCTGCCATGGACCCAGGAACCTGAGAAGGCCACCAACACCAGGACCTGAGAGCCTGAAAGTGCCCAGATGGACCTGGGGGTGGGGGATGAGGGAGGACAGTCATATGCCAGAGTCAGGATCAGTGTTTGGCTGTGGGTGGTGGGGACAGCATGACTTTCAGATTCTCAGCACTTCACCCTTGAGTTCTGTAAAGAATAATTGTGCACCGATGGGTGTGCATGTGCATGTGTGTGAGAAACACATGTGTGATGTGAGCCTCCCCAAAGCCTCCATTCTATTTAATCACCAAGAAACAACTTTTATCTTGCAGATGCTTTATTGAAATGGAAATGTATGTGAGGTTTCAACAAATATCTTGCATCTGTAGACCCAAAGACAAAGAAGGAATGCTAGGCTGCGGCTTCTACTCCTGAACAGTCAGTTTCTGGACAACCTCTGAGCTCACGTGGAAGTTAGTACCGAGCACACCAAAAGCTACTGTATATTTGTTGCTGGAAAACAAAAGCAGAGACATCACTTATACCTCACTTGTTCTTTCCAAGGAACATCCTGAAGAACAAACATGCATTTTCATTGTTTTCCTGGATTGGTCCACATGCACTGACAGGAAGCTGGTGCTGGAAGAGAAGCTGGAAGTATCGCGTTAGTTCTGTCTCAGGTGACCATGAGTGATGACAAAGGCTTCTGGTGCTGTCTAATCTTGTCCCCCCAGGGTTTGTTCCCTTGGTCAGGTTACCTGCATGTTTCTTCCTCTTTGAAATAACATAGTGAATAATATGCTGTGTTTCAGTTTTCAGTACCTCAGTCCAAAAATGAGGGAATGTGAAATTCTGAGTTCCTTCACCTTAGAAGAAGAACCAACAGCCCCATGTCCCCCACCCACAGCTTCTGTGAGCAACAAAACTCTGCAGGTGTGAGCTCCTTATGATTTGTCTACTGAGGATTTAAAGAACATTCCCATCATCTTGAAATAAAGGGGTGAATAATTTAATGATTTTTAAATTATAGTAAACACACATACAAATGTTACTCTTCTACGATTTTCAATGCACAGCTAATTGTGTGAAGAACATTTGGTTGGCAAATGTGCGGCACCCTGTGCCACGGTCTAGCCACAGTGGGTCAAGGGGTCCAACAGGTGAGGGTAGGCGTCGGCGCTGGGTAACAGATGACTTCACGCCTCAAAGGACAGTGAAGCTCTGTTCCATTTACTGCAAGTACAAGCAGATTTTTTTACTTTCATTTTAGGTAGTGACTAACATTTGCAGGTGTATAGCATGATCAGTTAAGCAGAAAAAAATCAATGCAAAGGTAACCAGGAAAAATATGAAAGTTCCCATAGATTCGGTTATAATAAACAAAGATTATTTTGACCAGGAGAGTCATTAATCAGACAATTAGAAGTTGCTGTATGTACAGAATTTGAATGTCTTAATTGTATATTAAAGTTTCTCAGAATTTATCATGGAGCAAAAGGATACACTAGATTGAGTAAAGGTAATAGGAAATTTATTATAAGGCCTTTGTGATGTCTAACTTAGCTATCTATCTTTTTCTGTCTAAAATGTTTCTCTTTGTACTATAAACTGACTCTCTAGTAACTGTTTCTACGTGTTTAGCTTGTAATAGTTAACCAGCCCCTTTTTTAATTTCTTTGCCTGTCCAATTGATGTATATTCTTATTCAAGGTAAAGGAGGGGCTGTTACTTCAACAACTTTTAAACATTCAGGGACTATTTTATTAGAGGGAACTTTGTTCTCTGGTCAAGAAATTATTTTGTACAACTTCACTGGAATTATGTGAATCAATGAACCTGAAATATAAATGTCTAACAATTCCACCACCTTTTGATTACCCAAACAAACATGTAACTTGTTTTTCTTATTTCTGGTACACTATGGCGGTCCTGATCGCCTTAAGTTGCTCAAACCAGGGTAATTTATACAACTTGACATGTTTTCCCTTGTGGTTAGCAATTATATTACCTTGGCTGTTATACTCCCCTGTATAAGGGAGAGGGGAATCTGTGGGGATTTTTCCATCCTTTCAGGCAGTTTCATGGGGAATACTAATGTTTTCCCCTGAACTGTTCCCTCCTCTTTGGTGATTTTCACAGGAATAAATAAGTACAGTACAATGTCCATACTCAGTAGCAAGAGTAAAATAATTAAAATAAAACAGCCAATTGTTAACTCATTTTGGATGCCACGTTCTCCTCCGGGGAGGCGAATTCCTTGAACTCAAATACTCCATGCCCGGACTTTGTCAGACAGCATGGTTGGAAGAGGACGTGGCACACCTGACCTCCAGGACCTTCTCATCCTGCTGACATGCAGCCGCAGACCCTTCCCATCTGCCAACTTCCTCCCCACCTGCCCTGGAAACCACTCTTCAACCTCTGTGTCTATGAGATTGGCTACTCCACAAAGGGTGATATTTGTCTTTTGGTGACTGGCTCACTTTTTTCCTCATAGTAACTCAAGGTTCATACGTGCCATCCCCTGTGTCAGGAATTTCTTAATGATCTGCACTTCCTCTTTGTGCTGTGTGCTGTGGGAGTATATCCAGGTGGTCACCCTCGAATGCTGCAAATGGTATATTAAGGCAGGAAATGAGCACTGGAAAATGAGCACAACATGGGTCATACGTGGAAAGACTGCTGAATGTGAAACTACTGACTTCTGTTTTCTTCTCTCCCACCACCCAGGGGGGGATTCATAGCCATGGTTTCCACGTGTCACTCTGAGGCCTTTAATCCACAATCAAGGAACCCAAGCACTGCTGCTAGCACACCTAGGTTGCTTGACAGTAAACTGAAGGTTGAGGTGTAAGATGGAAGGAATCTCCCTGACAAGCATGACCATCACGTGCTTCAAAAGAGTTGTCACAAACAGGAACTGTGTGTCCTTTCCCACAGCTTAAATGCAGCTAAAGAGATAGCAAAATTACCTGCATCTCTTCAAACTTCTCCAGAGTTTCATCACTTTGATGGAGAAAGGCCTCTTTAAAGAATATTACGGCCTTTTTAGTTTCTTCACCTGGTATGAACTCTTTAACCATACTGAGATATTCAGGTACGCTCACATTACGATCAAGTGTTAGATCGATCACTTTCTCCAGAAGTTCACAGCCAGACCCTGGGTTGAAAGCATGCAAACACAGGCTCAGTGACGGAGGCATGACCCCCGTATAGAGCCTAACTGTGATGCTGTCATCTTACCTCCACACTGGGACACACACTCAGAGAGGCGGTGGGTCAGGTCTGAGTCCTCAGTTCCGAGGAGACTCAACTCAGGACCTGGGATTTTCTTTTAGCCCTAAGGCATTTGCCTCCGTGTCCTTGCTCCTTTCACCACCAGCCCCATATACACAACGCTGACACTAGAGAAATGGGCTGCTCTGCATGGGGACAGGGGAGCTTGGGGAGCAGCAGCACTCGCACAGGGGCCTGAGCACAGCCCTCCTGCAAAGCCCGCACCGTCCCCGTGCTCACCTGCATAGCAGTACAGGGGGAGGGCAGTCAGCATGAGGACTGTCATCAGCTTCATTTTTCAGGCAGCTGCTGTGGGCTGGTCACTCTGGCGTGGCAGGAAGAAAGAGCTCCAGTTGGAGATGATTGTCCAGAACCAAGCCTTTTATTACCCTGGTGGCTGCCCTAATCCCTCCCAGGGATGACAGGATGAGTCACAGGGTAAACCTGGCCCTAGGCCAGGAAGGGACTGAGAGAATCTCTTAGGCCCAGACCACATGCCCTTTGTTCATATATCCTGAGGGGACAGAGTTTTGAAAACCCTCAAAGTCTAGGAACTTCAAATAATGGTGAGGATGTTAGATGAAGTTAACATCAAAATGCTTGCAAAATAATAAGGCAAATGACAACACTGTGAGTCTGTATTGCCATCCCTGTTGCTTTCTTATTGTTGTTGTCCTCATTATGTATTCCCCCTTCCCTATATCTTTCTCCCCAACCCTCTCCTGCTCCTTCTTCATCTTCAGCTCTTCCTCCTCCACCACCACCATCCTCCCCTCCTCTTCTTCCTGCACCCTGCTACTCCTCTTATTTCTCTTTTACCTCTTGAGGGTACAACACACTTCACATTCAGTCTGTTTCTCCTTATTCTCCAAACACTTGGGTTGGGTGCAATACCACATGCTATGGGAAAGGACAGACTCTCCTCTCCCATAGACTCCAATGCAGGTGCCTTTGAAGTAGAATATAGAAACAATTTCTCACCTTCTTTGAAGGCTGTTTTCACAAAACACTCTCATTTAGTTAATTCAATGTTATAAAATTAGTTTTGAATTTAGAATTAAGTTTAGTTTTTGTTAGTTCCTTAGGGTTTTGGGTCCACTGATTCAAAGGATGATGTGAGAAGTACGATCAGAGATCATTGGTGGGGGGGGGGGGGCAGGTAGTGCTGAAAGGTGAGAGGGTTGGAACCGGGGCTCATGCAGCTGTGGATTTGAATCTCAGATGCAGCCCCTAGTCATGATGTGTTCTTGGGCAAGTTACAGTGCTGTTGTCCTGAGCTTCCTTTTCTTCATGTCTGAAATGAGCACACAAGATTCCATGCCTGGCTTTGTAAGGTGGCTGACATTTATGTCAAGAGCCTATCACGGGGCTGAAAACAGAGTTGTTAGGACTAAGTCAGAGGTTCCATTTTCCATTCATCCTTCCACCCATCCATCTATCCATGTATTCATCCATCTATCCATCTATATATCCACACATTCATGTATCCACCCATGCTCCTAACAACCATGAATCTCCTAGGATGGGCCCTATGCTATGTGTCACAGATTCCATTGTGGGAAGAAGTCAAGCAGGACCTTGAACTTATGCAGCTTCCCCCTAATTGGAAGTAATAAACAAGACTGCAATTGGATAGGAGAGAAAGGGAAAGTAACTGTGTCAAGAACAACAAAACGACCACTAGGGCAGCATTCTCTTGGAGGTCCAGGCAGGCTATTGGACTGGAACTTTTTAGCTTGCCTGAGTGAACGGTGAAACAAAAGGGACCTTCTGGGAAGAGTTGTCTAGGCAGAGGGGAGCAAATACAAGGGCCCTGAGTGCAGGAGGCACTTGGCCAGCTGAGGAAAGCAGTTGACATGTCCCTCTTGGTGTCAGTGAGGGACAGGGCAGCCTCCCAGGACAGAAACACCACATCAGTGTAAATAGGGTTGGTATGGAGGGACAAGAGAAACAAAGTTGGAGGAGAGAAAAGAAAAAAAATGGGTGAGAGGTCCTGAGAGATGTGTCAGGGGTCAATGACCTGTATATGCATTTGCTCTGTTGGGATTGTTGGAGACTCATGTCTTTTCATCATTCTCCTGATCCAAAGTCACCAAGAACAATATTGATTTAGGAACAAGCTGGAAATGAAAAGAAAGTTATGTTCTTACATGTGTACTTTCTCCCTGCTGACCATTGGTGGCGATCTTCATTCCAAAGGCAAGGGAAAGACTTTCGTAAGGAAATGGAGCCTGACTGGTTGAACAGGTGATTTTGAGGGCTCTGCCAGGTGCCCAGTGGTTATGGACCTGCCCTCCTGTCTGCTGCAACACCAGACCCTGCCCAGGTTTTGTCCTCAGCAAAAGAAATCACAGGTCATGTACAATGACGTGTGTGTCTTTTCATCCCTGTGTCCTCTTTACAGCACACGGTGACCATTCCTGGTGTGTGAAAGGACTAGGACTATAACTTTGCTCTCAAAAGACTCATTTAAAAGCAAGCATTCTTAAGAAAAAATAGAAGAATCTAAGAGGTGTGAATGCTGGTATTGCTGGCCTGCTGTTTTGTCCTCCCAAAAGTATGTTGACTCAATTGCCCAAATTAAATTCAGAACTGGAGGAGTGAGGTATCCTTTGGTTTCCATGTTGGTATGACATTTACTGATCACCTGCTGTGGCAAACCATGCTGAGAAGGAGAACTACTCAGATTTTACTCTGGATAGCTTGGGTCATGCAAGACAGGTACATGTGCAGTAAGTAGGAATTATATTGATCATGTCCCCAAGGTCATTGAGAACCTGAGATATACTCACACTTATATTTTAGTCATCTCAGGTCTTAGGTTGAATAAAAGTAATGACATTCAGTGAAAGCTATTTTTTCTTAGTGATTCATGCATCAGCACCAAGCCCATAAAAGAGTTCTGAAGATGACATGATACCAGACTTCTGTTCATTGTAAGTTAGTCCTAGAAGTCAGCCCCACAATCTGTGGGCACAACATACTTCATCCTTTTGTTTTTCACTCATTCTCTAAAGCTGGTTCTGCCCCTCACTTCCAGGGCTGACATTAGCCTCCATGATGGTCTTTAGGTGGGAATCACTCCTACTTTCTGATCACACCAAGGTCTAGAAGTTGGGTGGGGTAGTACTTTCCCAGGCCAGAAACTTCAGAAATGGCCCTAGTCTTGGACCCATCTTTATGGCAGCCAGATGTTTACTGATCATGGTACTCTGGCCACTCCTGGACCAGGTGCTTTCCAGGCCTCAGGCCAGTGCTGCTGTGGAGCTGTCTCAGCTGGGTCTCCTCATACAATGGGAATCATTCTGGGGTTGTGCTGAGGCCAGAGTGAGTTACAGTGGGTGATTCCTCACAATGGGCTGGGCAAAGAGCAGGGATTGCCTCCACGCCAGCTGCCAGGGATTAATTTGTAACACTGAGGAAGATGTTCTCACCTGTGGAGGACTGTTTAGACCCCTAGAGACCCCTGAAACTTGCTGCTATTTTACATTCTCTATAAGATTTAGAGATAATCCAATACCGTTAGGAGGAAAACCCCAGAGTTAAAAATAAGCCCTATATTTTGATTCATTCCTATTGATATTTGCCTGACTCTTTCTGGAAGTGTTTTATTAAGGTGTGATTTACCAGTAACTATTGCTTTTGAACATATTCTACCTCCTGGTGCCCTGTTAATTCTTCTCAGAATCTGGCTCCTAGCACGTTGGAAGTGCTACTTACTTGCAAATTTAGCAAAACACACATGGCAAACCATTATAGAGCACTTAGTCAATGCAGGGCTCTGTGACCACCACTTTTAATCTTCACAAAAACCCATTAGGCAGAGTGATGAAGAGGTTATTGGCCAAACTGGGGGGAAATCCAGAAGGTAGAAGAGGTCACAGAAAGGATGGAATGCCAGGACACTAGCACACACCAGGTCTCTGGTGAGCAAAGGAAGATGTGTGGTTTCCAGCCCATGAGGCAGGCATATCATTTCCCCCCATATGAACGCAGTGGGACAGAGAGGCCAAGTAACCTGACCAAGGGCGCAAAGTTAGCGGATGTCAGAGCCACCAAGGAGCCAGGTGTTCTGGCATCAGAGACCCCTCTCAACACTATTGACTGCCTTAGTCTGACCCCTACGGTCCTTCATTTTATGAGTCAGGTGGACTCTTGTGACCCTGACTTGCACAACTGCTCTTGTGGACACCAGGTAGATGTCTGTGCAGGACCCACAGTTTTCTGCTGAGGCCATTGCTCCATCTGAAGTCTTCTCCTCCACTGTCCTTGCCTCAGTCCCTTTAGGTTAAAAGTTCTTGTATATTCTTGATGCCACATCAGAGACAGCCTGCTAATTGTGTCCCATCATGGCCTTGATCTCTGGGGATCTCCTTTCCAAGACCCCATGGCCCTCTGTGTGCACCTTATCCCTATTGAGTGGAACCTTACACACCATGGCTCTTCCCTGCCTGTGAAGCTCCTATAAAGCATGACCTATAGTCTTCTGCTCTTTGTGTGACAAAGGTGATACAGTAGGCATCTAATTAGTTGTTGTATAACCAGTTTTGGGGACAGATTTTGAGATTCTACAAAAAAATTCTGATTATATAACACGTGTCATTATTGGGTGTTTTTAGAAAGAGAAACTCATTTAAAATAGAAACTTGAATAAAGGCAAGATTCCCACCCAAGTCTAAGCCTGGGCACCAGCCTGACATCTTGGCACTAACACCACGTTCTTTGTGTTTCTGGAGAGATCTGTGAACTCAGCCACCACAGGCAGGGCCAGGTGAGGAGAGAAGAAGTTGGAGCCCTGACATTCAGGGACTGGGCCACCTCATCTCTTCTGTTCCCCACAGGTAAACATTCACTTGGTCCAACCTATCCCGGATCCATCCAATAATTGGGACAAGAAACTGGATTTGGAAGGTGATTCAGGATCAGGTGTCACCTGTAGCTATTCTTCTTGGCTCAGGCACCAAAACCTGATCTTTACACAAGTTGACATTTCTACAAAATGTGTGGTTTAAATATTTAATCTGCACACACTCATGACATTCACTGGTTTGTTAGATTTCTACACCAAATCTTCTCTGCTCAGTTATTTATTTTTCCCTCTGCTTATGCTCACATATTTTTGCTCACTGAAGGCCTCCGAAGTGTGCCCTTCTGGTCCTTATGAGCATTAATATAGAGAATACGGAAGATCTAACAATTCATTTCTGTACTGCTAGAAGCACATTTCTCTACTGGAGTGGATCTTTTCACTCCTTGCGTCCATCCCTGGTCCATGTCCAGAGATATATTGGTGTCCCCACAGGGTGGGTGTTGTGCTATTGGCATCAAGTGGGTG